AATCGAGACATTTTCATCACATATATTCATAATAGGGTCATGTTTAAAGGCACTTCAACAAACAAGGTATCGTTCGGCACTTTAAATCCGTGTTGCATGTCAAAACGCTTTTTCGAGAAGTTTATACCATGAAAGAAGTTCGAGAATTATTCGCAGAACTTATCATTTCAATGGCTTTATCAAATGCATTTTGCATTTTTATTTATAGTTGTCTATTGAAAGTTCCATTCTAAGAAAACTAGTAAATAATAGACCATATTATTATCCGAATTGGTTGCTATGTTTTCATACAATATAGGTAATAAATTGTATTATAAATTACTCATAATTTGGCTACATGGAGGAAATCACAAATACTAGTATGCCTGTGTTATGTGAAATTATCAGTTGTGGACAACATTCTTTGTTGATATACGAGTGCACTATTATTAATTTCTATTACATTACTTGTTTTAATGACAAAATTCATTTAAATAATCTTTAGTCTATATTGCTTAAAGTCACAATAATCTAGTGGAGCATGGTATCGTTCCTTAAGACATATTGCTGGAACTTTCTTGGGAATATATAATTCCAAATTTTTCAAATATATTATTATAAATGATGTCACTATTATAAGTTGTGTTTTATAGACGAAATGTAGGAGCATATAAATTAGGCAACGAAAGGTGTCGTACACTTGACTTTGAGAATTTTTTGCTCTTTGAGAAAATATGAATGAATGAATTATATATTCTTGATAAGGCATATTATATAGCATGTGTTTGGAAATGCATATCATTTTATTCAATTCTCAATTTCAAGTTCATAGTTTAATTTTCTTAACAAAATACAAATATTAAACTAGCTTTATTTAATTCTATTTGTAAGTTCACAGTTTAATTTTCTGAACAAAATTCAAATATTAAACTTGACTATTTCATGTATATAAGTGAGCTTACATAATTTTAAAAGCCTGGGTTTGAAACTTTTTCTTCTGTTCTCTAAATTTTCACCTAAACCTGTATTCTCAAAAGTTTTCATTCCAGCGTTTCATTTCTGAAATTGAATTACCATTTTTGCCCGTATCTTTAAAATGCTGAAAAACAAACAGCATATTTCCCTATCAAGTTAAATCAGTTTTTCTTAAAATATTTAAATCGGTTGATGCGTGCGCCCGAAATCGTAGACGAAAAATCGTGTCCAACATACACACACACGTACATCATTTATTTCTATGGTATGCCAAAATGTTTAGAAGCCTTCGAAACTTAATGATATATAAAATTTTACATTTCCGATTTTTGCGAACATTTATATTTCCTTAATTGCTTATGCAATAGAAATCATTGAAAAAATTAAAGATGCAGCATATACAAAATATTCATATAAAAAATATGAACAATTCAATATACATTTAATTGCGCATTACATCATCCCTTAAAATCACGTCTGTAATATTTGTACTGAATAATCAAAACATTTCTAATTCATCACATTGGAATAAAGATCATAGTTTTTTTTAACTAAATCGATATATTAATTACTATTTTACTAATGCTTTCAGGTTTAATTAAACTTTTCAGATCGCACAAAAAAGTTTTATTCTTATTTCATCAATATTAGCATTTACCAATTGCTTATTTTTTATGATCATATTTAATTATATATCAATTAATATTTTTCACTACGTATCTAATATTATTTAATTTCAAGTAATATTTGAACTCTATTGATAATATTGCTAAAGTCTCATAATTTATTAGACTATAAATTTCCAAGTATTCATTTCAGCCATGCATATATTTTCCCAATCGAGGCTTAGTTCCAAACAATATTGCCTTCCTCATACGAGGACTCATTCTTTTAACTAAGGAATAAATTACGTAAAGAATATTGAGAAAAGCTTAAAATTACATTTTTCGAGATAAAACAGAATTGATATGTAAATTAAGTCATGTACCCATTCGAAGTAATGGGCTCACGAACTCGAATTGGCCCCAGGGCCTACGAATTGCCTACGTATGGGATAGATATGTTATTTTAATGTAAGCTCCGTTAAGCCACAGTTTTTTATGATAAAATGGCAACGCATTTGCTGAAAACGCATATAAGCCCCTAAATACCATAGATAAACGGTTACGCTTTTCATTAATATTAGGAAGAATCCTCATATTTTGCGGTATTGTATTTATAATAAATGCGATTGTGACCCTAGTGGACAGTATCTTTTGAGAGGAAAAAAACAGCAGGGAAGGATGTAATTTCGCCCCAATATCAGAAATACATTACAAACATACGTGGTGTACACATGTGGATAGGAAATTTAACAATATTTAATATTACTTGGTAATGATAAATCACTTTTTTATCAATCGAACGCATAGAAAAAATAATCTATTAAGGATTATATCGAATAATGGAGTAATATTTACGTAAAAAATTATTTGGACTTGATTCGCTGGACACCTATAATCTCCAGCTGCGCTTTTGATACAGTGAATTATTTGGCGCAAAAAAGTGAGTGAATGTCTTTTGTTCAATATCGATGGGCTTGTGACCACATTATCAATATTTTTAACCGCTGCCCATAAATATACCCGATTCCGAAAAATACCAGTCGGATTTATGCTGATTGGTTTTTGTAAAGTACACCCAAGCCATTTATTTGTAATTAATAATTAAAGAATTATTTTTGACAATTTTTATGATTTTTTTACTAAAACATTATAGATTCACGATAATTGGCTTAATTCTGAAAATTCCTTAAATAATTAGGACATACTTATGTTCTAAGCTCGTTCTGTAAGTGTGTTTGTATGAGATATCATTCGGAGATCGGATTGATTAGTTTTAGTGAAAAACCAAAACTTTGTTCGAAATCAACGGTGGAAAAAATGTTTTCATATAACTAAATTTAAATTCTTTTTAAGTCTTCTTGATTTTTATTAATTATTACTAATTCACATATATAGAGAATATCATGTAACTTTTCCTAAGGCAAAAAGGGTTCTTGAAACTAGTAGGCAAATTATTTTATCATAATCGGTCAATATTTCAGAATCAGTATTTACTTAATCAATGATAATTATAATTGTAAGTTAATTCAATTGTATATGCATTCACATTTTTGTGTTTTGGACATTTGTTCTAAAACTAATCAAAAGTAATCATTTTTAATTAGTGTCTGTCGCAAAGTAATATAATAGTCTTCATCTAGGAAGAGATTTAAATCAATTAAATGTAATTGTTCTACTACATATTTTATTCATTTATCTTGGTTCATATTCTCTTTATCACTATTAATTTTGTATGTACTGAGAGTAATTCAAATTCATAAGTTGAATTAAAAATGATTATCAAGAAAAATGTATTTAACTCATTCGCGGACATTCATTTTCATTGTGATGCAGAATAACCTGAATGATATAGAATTTATATTTTACAGTCAATTATTTTGAAGCTAATTTGACGAAGACGATGACAACCTAAAATAACGGTTTTGAATCTAATTGTATACTAGTTAGTATTGGTATTTTTCTTTGAGGAAAGTAACATGAACTTCCCGATATGTGTAAATAATCGACTTAATCCATGATAGATAAATTAATTTATGAGTAGTAAAAAGTATTCGAAGTGGATTTATTACACATTCTTAAAAATCGAACACTTTAACCCGGTCGGAATATTTTTTAAAAGCAAATTTTAAAAAATCAATAATTTTTATATTTTGAACCAGTTTTCGGAGGGCTTTAACGGTTTAGTATGTTCACTAAGACCAAGTACTCTATCGTTATACCAAGTAAATCGTAGTAAATTTCAACAAACGTCACAAAAGCCACCCATTTTCTCAAACTTAAACTACATTTTTTTAAAAATTAAACTACTTGTCGTAAGGTCGTAATATTTCAGTAAGTTCTATAATACCATGATATATATTGCCAAAAAAGTTCCATAAAAATCGGCTTATTTTTTTTTTGCAACAGTTAATTACAAAAGAACGGCTCGGCGGATCGTCACACAAAACTGACAAATGATAGTCCTCATTGAGATACATCAAATGGCTTTTAAATTTCTAAAATCGATTCAGGCATTTTTGGGAACACGTGGATCTAATTTTGACAAATGCCCAAAAAACGATAATAAATTTTGCAAACTTAGACGGATTTTTAAAGTTAAACGACTTGTCGCAGGGCCGTAATATTTTAGTATGATGATTTAGTATGATCTATAAGACCATGGTATTTATCGTGAAATTATAGTTGAAATTTTTTTTTACACACTATTACAAGAAAACGGCTCGGCCAAACTTTACCGAAAACCATCCAATATCTTTCGAACGGTTTTCGAATTTTCAAAATCGGTTCAGAATTACGGGCTAAAACGTGGACAAAATTTTTTTCACTTTTCTGCAATTTACAAAGAAATGGCTAGGCCGATCGTCGTGCAAAACTGTCAACGTTAGTCCTCATCGAGATACATCAAATGACTTTCAATTCCGTTTTTGAGAACGTCGATTTACAAGAAATCTGTTCACATACACACACGCACACACACATACTTTTTCCTAATTTGGTCTCATTCGATTCAGTATGGCTTGAAACGTCGAGAAAACATAAAATTGGCAAATCGGATTTTTTTATGTAAACATAAACTTCTCCTTCGGGATGTTAATAAACTTACATTTCTATAATTAATATACCAGTCTAGGTAAATGACTGATTATTTAGGTATTTTCCTATTCTATACTTTTACATTTTCTACATTTTGCCACATTGATATATGCATCTGCTATATTCTATATTTTTTTAGATTAACTGTATCGCAAGGATAATCGGATGCATCAAAGTGTATAGTACCTATAAAAATACCACATTAAAATCTGTTTGAATATGAATGTACTAAAAAGGGTCACTTCCTTAAAAGACTTTTTAGCAAGAAATATTGGATTAGTAAATTAGTAGTTTGGTAATAAAAATTCTAATTATTGCATAACAATAATCTTCATTTTTTATTTGCAGGGTACTAATGATACACTACATAATTATTCATGGAGTTACAAGTTTTCTGCGATGATTGGTAAGTCTTATATTTGTATAAATGCATAAAACTCTTTGCTTTAAACAATACGAAATGTAAAATCGATACGTGACCTTCTCCTAGCTTCCGTAAAATATTTCCGACATAAAATTTCAGCGAATCCAACAATACAACATGAAATATAAACGAAAGTTAGTTTACGTCCTCGTGCGTATATGCCCACACACATTAATATGTGTGCCGGCCGGGGATAAAAAATAGGGGTGAACAAATGCAATTGATGTGTTTTTTTACCATTCCAGTTTCACCCTAAAAAGTTTATATACGTACGCGGAGTCCCGAAATTCTCATTATTTTTGCCTCAGGCGTAAATGATATATATTTCTTCCTCGTGTGTGAAATGGACACTCGCTAGAAAAAAATGTAATCGTTACGTTCACCCCATCGGGTAATACGCATGCAGAAACCATTATGATGGAATTTATTTTTTGGCTGAAAAATTATGCACAGAGCTTATCTGTGTCATTATAAGTCAAATATTATTTTGTTTGTTCAAGGTTAAAAATATCACATAAAAATATTGCTATCACATAAAAATGTGATAATTAGTGTATCAACTGTCTTAAATTCTTATAAATTTTAACGTATTATATATAATAAAATTTACCAATTCTTTATATAGTTTACACACATTTAACATGGTATTCTGGCCTATAGAGGCTAAAATTTAATATGTTTTTTGGAAGGTCGTAAAAAGTGCTAATAATGTTTTTGCTATACTTTTTTCTATAAGCTTTTAATTGATGTTTTGAAAATCCAGACAAATTAAAATTAGTCAAAGTTTTAATTTTAGAATGTCTCAAAAATTTTTAGAATATCTCAAAAATTGGCATCTGACCATACACAGCGTTTCAAATATGTAATCCGAAAGAGAAAAAAGTCTAGAATGATGTCACAATTGCATGAATCGACGAGTTAAAAAATATGAATTCACAAATTGTCGACTGTATGAATAATAGAATATTTTTTGATATTCTGGATTTTTTTAAAAATAGTTAAAATTGGAATTTGAAGATAGTTCTTCTGAAATGCAGCTCATAAAAAAGATTTTGTAATTTTTTAAATAAATTGGTCCAGTTGAAGTTCCGAAATCGTGGATAAAATATCAAAAAGACAATTTCGAGAAAAAACGCATTTTTGCGTTTTGCACTGAAAGGAAACATACGATAAGATTATTGTGTTCAAACAGCTATATTTCGAAATTAATTTAAATTTTGAAAAATATTCTTACAAAATCATTCTTGGATAGTGACCTTTAAAAAATCATCGATAACAAAATCGATTTTTTAAAATTCTAGATCAGAATACGCCTTTAATCAAATTTGACCTATTTGTTAGTTAATATTTGAGCTAAATTATAATATATAATATTCTTATGTAGATGACAATGGATTTCAATTTGTTTCCTGATTAGCAAAACTGTAAGTTTTCGCAAATATTTTTTTTGCAAACAAGTTTTACAAGTTTGTTAAATAATTCAATTCTAACTATCTCGATATTTAATATCAAAATTTAGATACAATTAATTTCTACCCATGGTATACTATACAACATGTATATGTATATGCTATACTAAATGTATCGCTCAGAAATAATGCAATGTAAAATTTGTTGTTATAACCGTTATTGAAACACAAATAATTGCAAAAGCTCATCTTAGGCGAGTAAGCCTATTATGCGGGATAGGGATGATAGATTTCAAAATGCAGCAACCGGCGTAAAGTAGCGTATTATGCGAGAAATTGTATTAAGTTTGATCATCTTAACAGGTTATCATATGCTTATAATTTTTGGCTTGCATATAGTAGAGTAAATTTTATATCATTTTTATCTTTGCTTAGTAAGAAATGGCATAATCAATTGAATCGTATATAAATGACAATAAATCATAGTTCTTTTTGCAAAGGATTCAGAATACCATAAGCATGTGAATTATCAACAATTTTCTCTCCGAATCTGACACTGACCTGAAAATACAATAAACATAAACCTAGATAGCATTTCATACTAGTCTGTAAAATTATCATACGTATAGTTTTCGAAGTATTTATAATGTTTTTTATCAATTATGCTTTTGGAGTAATTCAGATTACATACAAATATATAGAGTGTATAATAAAATATCAATATTATTTAAGAAAATCTAAATAAAAAAATTGTTCATACACATACTTTTTTCAATTTTAGTCTCATTCGATTGAGAATGGCTTGAAACGTCGAGAAAACATAAAATTAGCAAATCGAATTTTTTGATACAAACATTAACTTCAACTTTGAAAAGTTAATAATTACTATCACTTTAACGCATGAGGGTTGATTAGTAAATCATAAAAATCATTGGATGTTTTTTAATGAAACATTACAATTTTTAATTTGTCATGTGCCCAAATTATTCAAATGATTTGTTTAAAAATAATATATGTCCCGGTTATGAATACGACACGTACACACCTATACTTTTACTGTAATCAATGTACGAGCATATCGTGTAATGTTCGTACTCAATGTTCTCCTATTGTTAATTCACGGCAGTCGGTCAGTTTAGTTAACTGTAATTTAATTAGTGCTAATTAGGAGTGACAATCCTTGTTAATTGGTGATCATGAAGATTTATTTAAATTAGCTGTGACGCGCGCTGAATCCATAAAAATTAAGCACGATACCGGATGTGCTAGATATTTCAATAGTTTCCTACGAATTAATATTGATGGATCGTCTTGGAGCAGTGACGAATCTTGGTTTCTCAGTGTCGGATGCACTTTCGAAAATTTCATGTGTTCAATCTGATTCACTTTATTTTAACTTTGTAACAAATATTATATATTTATACATATTTTAATAATGCAACAGTTTATTGTATCTTCTATAATTATACATATTCAGGAGCAGTGACGGAAAACCATTATTGTTTTCATTTTAGTTTCTTAAAGTTTTTCTTCAAGGGCTCAACATTTTGGCATACCTTAGAAACAATAGATGTATGTGTGTGCGTGTGTATGTATGTTCGGATGCAATTTTTTGTTTAGGATTTTTGGAGCATGGATCAACCGATTTGAATGATTCACAAACTAATCGATTTGTATTGAGAGGTGAACGTGCTGTTACCGAGATTTGGAGCGATCAGTATGGTTCAAGAAGCATTTTGCAAGTTTTGACGGTGTGAAGGAATGATTAGAATTAATTTTTTTTAGTATGCATACTCTTTTTTATTCTTAACGTATGTTTACAAATATTCTTATATAATAAAAAATATTGGCTATAAAAATACAAAAAACAGACAATAAAATATATACGCGGTGAAAATGTGCACAATTATATTCCTAATTATAATACTTCAATAATAACTAATATAATTAACTAATGATTTTTTAACTTCCCGTAGGGTAACTTATTGTAATCGTCCAAAAATCGAAATTGAAAATTTTTACATTTCTCGACGTTTTGAAGGTTTTTGAACATTTTGGCATACCTCAGAAAAAATGGATGTGTGTGTGTGTATGTATGTATGTATAAAATTTTTTTTTGTTTATCGAAAATAATTCAGATTTTATTTTCAATTCTGACTAAAGTTCTAATATACTTTAAATAAATAATTTCAACTTTGCAATTCAGTTTATATAATTCTTATAAATATTAGACAATGTTACAATATTTATAATAATCTATTTGAAAACATTTAATATTTCTCGAACATTTCTTTCCGGTACGGGAAGTTCCAGCAATTTGCCTTAAGGCACGATGCCACACACTCCACTAGTTTTATTTTCAATAGCAATCAGAATACAGGACAATTCTGTGAGCTATTTGGCTTATGTCATTCACTCGCACACATACACACACACACACACACTTATAAACTAAACCATAAAACTAAAAATTGAAAATTTTTATATATCTTTTTGTTTCAAAGATTTTTGAACAATTTGGCATACCTTAGATAAAATGGATGTAAGTGTGTGTGTGTGCGGATACAAATTTTCGGGAACACCGATCGACCGATTTGAATAATCCAAATAACAATCAATTCGTATTGATAAGGAGATGCGCTGATTAGTTTTTGGCGAAGGCAGGTCTAGCCGTTCCGAAGATATGGGGCAAAAAGTTCCAAAAACGGTAACTCAATTTTTAAGAGAACGAAGCGTCCGATTTTGATAATTCAAAACATATTACTTGCATTAACAAGATGAAGAACTGATTAAATTTTTGGTAAGGTAGATTCAGCGGTTATGAACTTTCTTATGATAAATAATATTGATTCAAAGTCTATTTTATCGTTTATTAACTTCCCGTAGGGCAAGTTATAGTAATCGCAAAAAAATCGATAATGAAAATTTTTATATATCTTTACGTTTCAGAGGTTTCTGAACATTTTGGCATACCTTAGAAAAAATGGATGTATGTGTGTGTGTGTATGTGTGTGTGTGTGTGTGTGTGTGTATGTATGTATGTATGTATGTGTGTGTATGTATGTGCGGATACAAATTTTCGTCGACGATTTCGGGAACACGGATCAACCGATTTGAATAATTCAAAAAACATTCGATCCGTATTGATAAGGAGACGTGCTGATTAGTTTTTGGCAAAGGCAGGTCAAGCCGTTCCGAAGATACGGGGCAAAAAGTTCCGAAAACGGTAACTCAGTTTTTAAGAGAACGGAGCGTCCGATTTTAATAATTCAAACAACATTTTATTTGTATTGACAAGATGAAGAATCGATACAACTTTCATGAAGGTAGGTCCAGCGGTTTCGGAGATATAGAGAAAAAAGTAAAAAAATGAGCCATTTGGCGGTCAAAAATGATCATTAGACATATGCACATCAAATTATCAGACATTTTATAGAGATTTTAACAATAAGTATACATTTTGTTAACATTCCTATCGGTTCCGTACCAATGCTTATGCGTTAGACAGCGACGCGGCGCTTACGCGCTTTATATTTTGTCCCTATGTAGTTACAGCAGTACGATTGCTTTGAA